CAAGGTACTCGTACTTGGAGCGTATCTCCGGCGGCAAGTTCAAGATTTGGAAATACATGGGAAACACGCCCGCCTTGTTTTTCCATACGGAAGCCCCATCCGCGCAGAACAGGATGATTATATTCCGCAACTCCTGGAAAAACTCTGGGTACCGCGCCTTCTTCTCTTTCCACGCATCTCCGTCTGCACACTCCGGACAAAATACAACTCACCGCGGTATACATACAACTGTATGTGTACATCTGCAATATGTCAAAGACATACGTTAAGTGTATTGCAGATATGCCCTTTGCAGATCCTATCACAAGCATTGGGATCATAGACGCGTGCTGGGCTCTTACCCCAAATTGTGTCTTTGCGTCCACTTTCAGGAGACGTATGACGGCCATGCGCCCGCATGAGCTCAGCAACTTCAGGTGAATGGAATAGCCTCCGGAAAATTTCCTTCAAGGGCCACCAAAGGAATTGCAATCGCGGCTTCTTCGGAGTGCCATCCTCCGGAGTGCCATCCTCCTCCGCCGCTCCAAAGCTTTGCCACCGGCATTCTTTACAGTGTGGACAATGATCCGCGTTCTCCAACTCCTTCTCGTACAAACAACATCCATTGACGCACATGTCCACTCGTTGGTACGGCGTACTAAAAGCGTCGAAAGTACCCATAGCTTTAGCGAACGTCAAGGGGAAATGGGTTTCGCGAAGCTCATCAAAGTTGTGAAGTAGGATCTCACACAACGAGGAAAACGATTTTTGGGTCAAGTTTTCCTCCAAGTTCCATTCCAGAAGATCCGCGAGGAGCTTAGTTGATCGCCGCACGTTGTGGTCCTGCGTACACATCGCAATTTCAGTGGTTGTCAATACATATGCAATATACTGCAATACATTGTCAATATGTAGGAGATATGCATACTACATATTGCACGTGCAGTTCACTGCACGATATTTGGCATAATAACGCGTTCTTACCGTCTCCCCTCCGAAAAGCTCCTTTGCAGCATTCACAATACTTTCCAATTGTGTAGCAATCGCTGCTTTAACGGAGTGGACGGCATCTCCGTCGTCTTCTTCATCGAACCCCAAATCCTCCCCACCGCCATCCTTGGTCTCACCATCGGCATCCTCGGTCTTAGGCGCATCGCCATCCTCGTCGTCGGGAACTCCGGCCTCGCCGCCTTGACTCGACACATCCTTGGCTTCCACGTCCTGTTGTGCGTGTACCACCTCGTCTTCTGCGCTTGTCCTCCCGGCTTCCTCAGCATGTTCGCCCTCCTTGTCATCCATCGTGACGTCCACATCCGTATGTCTGTAGGAGAGTTGCAATGCACCTTCAACACGTTGTCAACATATTGCGAATGTGTTGTCACGCAAGCTTGCCCAATCATTCATGGGAGAGAAAGGGCGTAGAGTACCTTAAGGTTTCGCCGCGGTTGCCACAAACTACAGCATCGATTTCTTCAGGGTCCGGTGCGGGTGGCTGGATCTGCCCGTGGAGTTTCCGATGTCGTGTGCGGGTGGCCTTGCTCACCACGTTTCCACGTAGGTCAACTCCGTAGCACATGGCACAATCACATAGAAACCGCCCTCGCTCCAATGTTACGGTGCCCACATTTCGACGATGCATTGCATGGAGCGAGAGCCAAGGATCGGCTTCGCCCGCCGTGTCCTTCACCTCACCCATCTCGGTGTCCTTCGCCTCAGCTGGCTCTTCCACCGGAGATCTGCTTCGCCCACCGCAGTATATCTCCCATACATATTCAATATACCGGCAACGGTTTCTGATATATTGCAACATATTATATCATGAAAAATCAGTATGCAAGTTGAGGTGCCTAAATATTCGTACATACCTCATGGGCTCTTCCATCTCGGCAGCCATGGCATCCGTGGTAACTGCAATTAAAGACCAAACTCCAACCGCACGGATCAAATCTGGCCAATCATTTATTGTCGAAACGCTCCTCCAATGTCGCCCAAGGCACCGAACCTCCCGCACATTGTCTCGTGTAGGATTATCGAGTTGAGAGTCGTCGGGCAGCAGCGAGCCGTATGTAGTCGCCTCGAAGTTGCCATCGTGTACTAGGTAGACAACAGTTTCCATACGGATCGGTGTCAAAATTGCTTGATGAGCTTCGAAGAAGTCGTAGGCTTCTTCCGCATTCGATGGTAGGTTGTCTCCCTCGGGGGTAACGTCAAGTGGAAATTGGTGAGGACTACGTTCCGCGTCAACAGTGACTACATCAATGAATCCAGGAATCCCGAAATAGTACCTGCCGTCGTCTAAACCAGCTGAATTTGCCGCCTCGTGCGCCTCGGGGGGCGCCTCGCCCGCATCTCTGCACAATATCGTCCCAACATGTTTCCAACATCCCATCAACATGCTGCAACCATCACGATAGCGTGCTGCAGCATAGTTACGGCTAAAGCAAGTAGGCAAGGAAACATGATGAGATGTATCACCTGGAAAAGCTCTTCGATATGGACGATGAAATAGTCGACATTGAGGATGCCCGCAAGTCAGGCATGCTACTTCCGATGGTCCCATCTAAAGCATGCCCCTCGTGCGCCTCGTACGCCTCGGGGGGCGCCTCGCCCGCATCTCTGCACAATATCGTCCCAACATGTGTTCAGCATCCCATCAACATGCTGCAACCATCACGATAGCGTGCTGCAACACTATTGCAGCGAGCCACGTGAGGAATGGTGGGAGGGAAACCATGCCCCACGAGAGTCCCTTACCTTGCACTCCCGCCGGCTAGTGGAGGGCTCGTGGGTGCCTCAGCATTGGGCGGCGGGGGAGACTCCTTGCTTTGGGCCTCGTACGCCTCGGGGGGCGCCTCGCCCGCATCTCTGCACAATATCGTCCCAACATGTTTTCAGCATCCCATCAACATGCTGCAACCATCACGATAGCGTGCTGCAGCACTATTGCAGCGAGCCACGTGAGGAATGGTGGGAGGGAAATCATGCCCCACGAGAGTCCCTTACCTTGCACTCCCGCCGGCTAGTGGAGGGCTCGTGGGTGCCTCAGCATTGGGCGGCGGGGGGGACTCCTTGCTTTGGGCCTCGTGCGCCTCGGGGGGCGCCTCGCCCGCATCTCTGCACAATATCGTCCCAACATGTTTTCAGCATCCCATCAACATGCTGCAACCATCACGATAGCGTGCTGCAGCACTATTGCAGCGAGCCACGTGAGGAATGGTGGGAGGGAAATCATGCCCCGCGAGAGTCCCTTACCTTGCCTCTTGCATGCCACGAATCCTTTCGACAATCCGTTGCAAGCAATTAGGCACCGGTGGAACAAGTCGAAACGATTTCCCCTTAAAGGTTACCGTTGCCGGTTCTAGCTCCAAGATGTCGGAAGGTGGTAACCAAGTCGGCCACGCGGTATTGTCTGGAGATAAATCGTGCGCCAATCTGGAGAAATCGTGCGGGAGCAGTCGCGTTGGCAGCCACTTATGATGCCATACCGTGTCCACTTCCACATAGTGCGCATCGACTTTCCTGCAATGTGTTCCAGGATCCCTACAATATAATCTCAATATGTATGCAACATATGGTAACCATGTTGCATACATGTAGCAAAGAGTCCTGTGAAGCAAGAAAGACACAACCTCAACGTCGAGAAGAAAGAGAAAGGGTGCTACCTCGCGGACAACTCCAGTTCCCTCGTAGATATTGGAAGATGTGGAGGCGCAATCCACGCCAAAAGGCGTTCCTTCTTCGTAATCGTTTCATACTCCGGGTCGCGGAAGCCTTCCGCGGTACTCCAACCTTCCGGGAATATGAGCTTGATATTGGGAGGGGGTTTGAGGGATGTACCCTCCTGAGCATTGGAAGGTTTGATCGGCTCTCGATCGGCTAAGCACCCGCCTTGCGCGGGATTTCTCATCGCGCGCTTGGCTAACGAAGATTGTTGTACGGGGGGGGCCGCCTTCCCTTGGACGAGGGCGGCGGCTCTAGCCGAAGGCAAGCCGGTTCGATGTCGCTCCGCATCACTTGGTGATGATGATTGAGGGGATCGTTCATGGCGAGGTCGCTTTTCACCATGAACAATTTGATCTCCTCGGACCATACTGCATTGAAGTCCCCTTTACCACGCCCATCACCCTTCGAAAATGTACTGCAACTATGCTGTAATATGTTGGACATATACTGCGGACATATTGACGATATGCTGAAGGAACTTTCAAGTAAAGCAATAACCCAAAAGTAGGTTTTCGGACCCCCCCCACAAAAAACGCACACAAGCTATGTCGCAAAATATAGCTCCTGAGTCCATATAACAAGTCTCACCAGAATTGAAGAACATGTTTTTTCAACTTTTTTAGGGCTCACTTCAACACTTCCGCAGCATACTGAAAGGGGGGGCTAAAGGCAGGGCTCAAGGTCTTGAGCCCTCACGTATTGAAGTGAGCCCTCACGTATTGAAGTGAGCCCTCACGTATTGAAGTGATCCCTGCCTTGAGCTCTGCAGGCGGTTGCACGCGGTTGCACGCATATTGACCTTTACAAAAATTTAAAAAAACGTTTTAGAGGAGAATCTGTTCAATACTACTTCAATACGGGAGGGCTCACTGCAATACGTTACCGCTTGCAGGCGTATTGAAATCGCGTATTGGAGATGTATTGAAAACTGCTGATGTCAGCTTTGCCAGTGCCACGTCAGACGGATCTTCGCAAAACTGACTTGGCACTTTTTCGACCCATCTCCAATACGCCATTTCAATACGCCTGCAAGCGGTAACGTATTGCAGTGAGCCCTCACGTATTGCAGTAGTATTGAACAGATTGAACGATTTTCGGGGAAACAATTTTGGAATTTTAATTTTTAGGAGAATCTGCACCCCTCGTTCGTGAATCGAACGGCCGAATTCGTAACTCAAGAAGTACCCCCAAAATGACCCCTGAGATGGCCTGGATTAAAAAGGTTGTCATTGACCTTTAGATGGAGGTGGTACACTTCGCCAGCGAGGAGGAGCTCAACTCCTCGCAGACAAGGTGTATACCTCCAGTGGGACTCGAACCCACTACCGCAGGCTTTGAAGACCGACGGCCAACCACTAGACCATTGTGACAACGAGATTGAAAAGATGTTGCGTATTGGACTACAGTACAGTAACGTATGAACACAAATGAAAAATCGGGTTAGACGTTCCCCCCCCCCAAAAAAAAGAAAAAGAGCGCGATGACAATCGAGATGCACGATGGACGAAATTTCAAAATGCATTTCCAAACGGTCGGTCGTCGCAGGTGCAATGCGCCCGACACATGCGGCCAACATGCGTGCACGATGCATGGTAACACCCATCGCATCACGGCAACGTACGGAAGGCCTCCTGGAAGCACGTTGACGTTCCAGCAGCCGCCCTTCCAGCACGTTCCAGCACCAGCCAGCAGAGGTGTAAACAAAGCCAGCAGAGGTGTAAGAAAAGCCAGCAGAGGTGTAAGAAAAATGTCAGTCAAAGAGTTGCACGCTGAGTATGTAGAAAGCTGCGAGCTGTTTGGCGTTGAGCATACGCACGAGGGCTTCGTTGACTACGTTGCGAAGGTGAGGGCAAAGGGGACACCTAGCGAGCCCAAAGGGATCGAGGAAACCCCATTGGCTTTCCTCGACAAAGGCAAGAAAAGGGCGAAGGAAGACGACGAGGACGATGAGGAGGGAGGGGGGGAAGGGAGCAAAAAAAGGCGCAAGGGGGCTCGAAGCGCGTTCGAAGCTCAACTAATTAAAGCATGTCACGAGGAGTTTGGTACGTACTAAGCATGCGGCTTCGTTTACTTAACTTGGTTCCTTCGGTGCATGAAAAAATATTGATTTGGGAAGAGTTTGGGGAGAATTACTTGCAGAATTGCGTGTGAAGGACGGGCGTCTTGAGCCCCTACTTCACGTGCCGAAGCAAGAGTCCGCGGTGTCGAAGTACGTCACCGCGGTACAAAACCGCTGCAAGTGGGCGACCGCGCCCACTAACTCCTTCGTGCGGGCGAAAGCCCGTTCGATCGTGAACAACAATCGATATCTTTGGAAGTGCGGCCGGTGGGCGACCGACACGAAAACCGGAATGTGTACGTGGGTGGACCCCCAAAAGCTACATCCGCACACCACGTGTATGGAGGAGGGGGTCCCTACCACATGCCCGGTGCGGTAAATCGCCAAGAAGATGGAGGTGCTCAAAGCCCTCCCCGAATTCGAATTGGAGGAGGGGCCTAACAGCAAGGTGGAGTGCTTGCAAGGGGAGGCAAGACAGCGGCTGGGTACGTTCCCACCCTCTAATACACGTGACACACGCTCGCAGTATATGTGAAGCATGCCACAGCACACCTTCAGCATACTCAGCATACTTGTGCACCTTTCTGAAAGGTAGGGCAACAATATGCCTGCAATATGTATGTAGTATACCTGCAACATACCTGTAACATACCTGTAACATACCTGTAACATACCTGTAACATACGACATAAAACTTACGGTTGATAGCATTTTTTGTTTGCAGTCGCCTATCTCTACGACCACAACACCCCCGACAAGGACGACGAGGAGGAGGCTGACCGCCTGGAGGCGGATGCCAAGAAAAAGGAGGTGGAGGCCAAGGCCAAAAAAGCACCCGCCTCCGCATCCGCATCCGCAAAGGGCAAGGCCAAGGCCTCGGAGGGCCCCGCCTCCGCATCCGCAAAGGGCAAGGCCAAGGCGGCCGCGTCACCGGCCCCGTCACCGGCCAAGCCCGCCAAGCTTGCCAAGCCCGAAGCCCCCAATGTTGAAGACATCTTCAAGGTGGGGAAAGAGGTGGTGGTGTACGCGGGGGCTCAAACAAAGTACGAAGCGATGAAGAGTTCGCTCCGTCCCGACAAAGGCGGACTCGTGACGAACACCGGCCGATTGAAGGCCAACGTCGGGCTGTTCGCCGGGTTGGTGGTGGCGAATGCGGTTGGGGATATTCTCCCCAACCACATCATGGACGGCCCCGATTTCCCCCTCACCGAGGGGCTCATCGGTATCAAGGTGCGCACCAACCCTTTCAATATGTGCACAATATGTGTACAATATGTCTGTTATAGTACTGTAATAGTACTGTAATAGTACTGTAATAGTACTGTAATAGTACTGTACTACTATATTTCCAATATTTGACACATGTATTTCGTTTGGTGGGGCTGCAGGTAACTGATATCCTCGACATGAAGATGCTTTGCAAAGAGAAGCCATATGCATATGTCCGCAGCGCCATCTTCTACATCATGAAGGAGGTGGACAAGCGCCTCCCGGAAGGGATGGACGCTAGCCACCGAGTGGGGAATCCCGGCTCGGAGGCGTCCCTCCTCTTGCAGAAGGCCTTCATGCGCGAGGGAAGAACAAAAATAAAAACCTTGTAGTGGACGTAGCCTACGTACGGCAGGGGGAGCATTTGTGAAACAAATTTGACAATTTGTAATTGTATTCAATATTAATTGTGTTCAATATGCCTCTCGTTGACATATGCAATAGGTCCACAACATACTTGCAGCATGTTGAATATGTCTGTGCAATATGCATGCAATAGGTCTTCAGTATATATCCAATATAGGCAACTTTTATTTCAATACATATGCAATATGTCCACAATATATATACAGCATATTGAATTTTCATGTTCAATATGTGTGCAATAGGTCCGCAGTATGTATCCAATATACTAAATGTACCGTTTCAATACATATTCAATAGGTCCACAATATATATACAACATATTGAATTTACATGTTCAATACGTATGCAATATGTCCGCAGTATGTACCCAACATACTGAATGTTCCGTTTCAATACATATTCAATAGGTCCACAATATATATACAACATATTGAGTTTACATGTTCAATACGTATGCAGTAGGTCCGCAGTGTGTATCCAACATATTGAATGTTGACTTACAATAAGTATACAATATGTATACAATATGTGGGCAATATGTCTGCAATATGCCTTCATAGTGTTTGCGACATGCATGGTGCATGTCTCCAACCCTATACTACACATGTGTTGAAGGCATATTGAAATAACTCTCTGCATCAGAACTTCAATATGTCTCCAATACATGAGGGCTCACTGCAATACTATGTTGCACACATGTTGGAGCGCTTGCAGGCATATTGCACACATATTGTAACATTTTTTATTGTATTGAACATTTATTGTCAATACGCGTGCAATATGCCTGCAATATGTGTTCAATACGATGTATTGCACGCGTCCAGAAACGTAGGGAGAACAGTATCCCATCCCAAATCCTACGTCAGGGAATACTGAGCTAATTACTGTCTTAAGATCATGATCGGCACCTTATACCAAGTGGGTTCGTTTATAGTTTAGACTTGCACAGCAGGTATGCTATGTGATATTTAATGCAACATCTGATGCACTGTTATATATGACTATGCATGCCAACCGTTATCGTGATCAAGTTGGCTGTATACATGTGTGCATATGTCAATGTATAACATGGTGGAATCATGCTGCACGGTATTGCTGCATGGTATAGTGATGCATGGTATTGCTGCATGATATAGTGATGCATGGTATTGCTGCATACACTTGGTATATACTGAATGGATAGTGTATGCTGCATGCATGCATGTGTGTGTGTGTGTGTGTGTGATATGGCTACACACACAGCATATGGTACACACACATCTGATTGCACAGCATCCATATTCATCTGATGTCACATTATGTGTCCGACTGCAAACTTTGTATGTACATTTGCCAGTAATTGAACAAACATCATCTCTTATGTGCGAGCATCACAGATATTGAATAGCATGCTGCATATATATACCATCATCGCGCGTCATCTGAGCATGATGAATCATAGCAGGTGTGCGTATGTCCTGACAAGCTAAATCATCGTATGCGCGTAGACGAGCGATTTTTGCAAACCATTTGCAATAACGAAATTTTGATGCGTACACTGCACTGAACAATTAGTGCGGATAGCGAATTATCACTATCGCTGATGTATGCGCTGCGAATGGTGAACATCTCTGTCGCCGGTATGTATGGCATATGGTACGAATGCCATCTCGCGTACGGATCATACACTGATGACGATTTGATCATTCGCGCGTCAGTATGTCGCATATCGTACAACTTTGCGAATGATAACAGCATATGTGTGCGATCTGTATGCTGTAAGCACACCTTGTCGCTGTTATACTCTGACGATGTGTATGCGAGCGAATGCGTTCGCGACGGTAATTCCTCGCGCACTCCGTTCGCTGTTGATTCTGCAGCGAATGTTATTATGCGATATATGTCGTATATGTGCGATCGCTGTCGCCTGTATGTATGCGCGATCCGCGAACCTGTTGCACACACAATATACAATATATCTCTATTGCTGCACTGCACACTTATGTGTCCTCGTTCGTCGCGTGGACGAGTAGAATACCACTGATAAGGCTCGCTATGCAAGCGATATGTATGGCACGGCTATTATTGAACGACAATAGCACGCGCAGAGTATTGTGGGTATGAGTGCAGTCTCTTCTCCAGAAGTGCTGCTAGAGCTCAATGCTCCCTCATATACGCCAATGCCCCCGCACTTCTCAAGTGCTACCACAATTGGGTTGTGAACCCGAGGGCATTGGGTGAACAACAGTATCGGCTGATCGAATAAGCCATGTGATACCCGCATGGTGTTCAATTCATGCTTGAAGCGAAGACGAGTCCCTTCAGAACAGTTTGTTCTTCAAGAACTGTCTTGCTTCATCATCGAGATGCTGTGATCAGCCTCTCGATGACAGATGTCACTCATGGTGAGTGGATGACAGATGGTATGACTGTACATGTCACAGTCGACCGTACTGACGACTGTATGTCATTATAACATATGACATGACACGACATGACATGACATGACATGGTATGACATGTATGACAGGTATGACACGTATGACATGTATGGCACATATGTCATCGGTCATAACCCTGACACCACGGGCCGTCATAATTATAATACTCCAGTACCACAGCAATAGGCAGTAAGCAACTGAGGGGTACAAAAACTGTCAAAATAGACTCACTGTCTCACGTAAAAAGTTCTGA